AAATGGCCCGTTTTTGAATTCATTGTTTCTGTGATATCACAAAAACCCATGTACACGTATCTGCTATTAAGACAGGTTGAAAATGGTCATGTAAAAATGAATTATGACTGTTTTTGGCAAATAATCCATCACAAATGTGGAAAAAGGTAGACCTCAGGGGGAAAAAGATAAAAAGAAAAACTAAGACATTGGCCCTTTAACGTAATTTACAGGCCTAAATAAACTTTTCTTGACATTCGCTTCTTTATGTTTGGTTTATTTCTGTGACAGCTTTACAAATTAGGCTGCTCTACGAAGTGATCAAACTGCCAAAGGTTCCCAGGAGCAGATTGAATGCATAAACGAAATGACAGTAATCATAAACAATTTCTAATCATACAGTACTGATGCTTGGCCATAGCCTACCTGGCAAAAATCTACTATATTTGTCCAATAGACACCTGCTCAAGCAGTTTCTTCTGAAACCAAGGATATTAATACTGAGCTTGTCTCACATTTACTGCAGTAACAGCCTCTACTCATGTGGGAAGGCTTTACACTAGATGTTGGAACATTGCTGTGAGGATTTGATTGCATTCAGCCACAAGAGCAAAAGTGAGGTCAGGTACTGATGTTGGATGATTAGTTCTGGATCACTCCAACTCATCCCAAAGGTGCTGGATGGAGCTCCATCACTCTAAAGAACAACGTTCCACTGTTTCACAGTCCAATGCTAGGGGGCTTTACACCCCTATAGCCAACGCCTGGCATTGGGCATGGTGACCTGAGCATGCTGTTTCGCTGACAGTGCTTTTCTATGGAGGTTTTACAAGCTGTGTGTTCACTGTGTTAGTAGAAAGCAGCTGAATTGAATGTGGTGTCTGCGCGCTTTTGGACTTTTAAATGTACGTCCCATGGTCCATGAAAGGCGTGGGAAATCTGTGGTGAGGGAGCGCGAGGGCTAATGGTGGAAAAAGCAGAGTGGGCTCCAGGCATTCCTTTGTGATTACACATCTGTGCAAAAGGAGGCCAGACATTCTTTTGGACCGTATCTGAAGCCTGCTGACTTCTACCCCCAATCCCTCCTTTCCCTCCCCTCTTCATTCTGAAAAAAAGAAGGATTTCAACTGTGAATGTTGTTTTGGTCCAGTCAAAGCATCGGCCCACAGAGGAGCTCAGTCCCACCCACCAACAAGTTTAGTCTTCATGGTTGCCCGAGTGTGATACAGGCCTAGGCCAGATCAGATTTGAGCACGGGGAAGACGCTCAGGGCGCAATAATATTCTCATACGCTGGACATTTGTATTACATGTAGCCTAACCTTTTCCTTCCTCTTTCTAAACTCTTAACCTCCAACCTAATAACTGTCTGGCTACGTAGTGGAGCCAGGGTGACAACAGACGGCCAGAGCCAGCAACCACCAGAGCTGCTTCTTCAGGTTGAGGCTTTGTTCCAGTGAATTACAGCCCAACCCCTCGTTGGCAAATCAGCTAAAAAAAACGATGAATCACAAGTTCTGCATACCAGCCTTCGTTAATATCAGTTTAGTGTAATTGCAACGAGTCATGTTGCATAAGAAAAAGAAAAAAAGAAAAAACAATTAAAGGAGGAATTCCATCAATTTTTCGTTAAGATGTAAACAAAGTCATTCAGAGTGGAAATTATCCATTCTAGAGAAACTTGAGTCAGAATTGTTCACAGTGGTGGTGATAAGAACCAGATGTCCAAAGCATTTAGTGTCCCTAGAAGCTCCCTCTCAAAAGGTTATTACATGAAATGTTTACAAATATGCTGCCTGGTGCCTGAGACATTGGTTGACTTAAGTTATGAGATAAGGTAAAATAGTACCCTCAAAAAAGTTTGTTTTTTTTCCAGATTTACCACTATTTCACCATAATCAGCAATATATATAAAAACTCAAAGACACTTGTAGGATCACTGATCAATTTGGATTGTGAACAAAATGGCTATATGGGTCATTTTACCTAACTGGTTTAAAGTCAGAGTTCAAAACATAGTTTGGCTTTAGATTAAAATCCTTTGGCTTTGAGTGACCCTATACCTTAACCCCTTAACGTTCCATACTAAGGCTTATTATTCATTAACTACATGGACTTCAATGCAAACTAATGGAGCTATTCTTAGGTTATAGAAGTGTTTAATAAAACTTTGGACCTGCTGGCAGGCCCAAGGCTTGATAAGGGGTTAATTATGTATATTTACTTATTAAAATAAATAAGTGAATATACCATTTTGTCACTACCAAAACAAGCATAACACAGCAGAAACTTCACCAAATGTTTTGCTAGTGACTGTTTCCGTCATGATCATTTTAGCTAATTTTGAGCAGAACTGAAAAACATTAGCTAGTACAAGACTAACAAACACAGCTTTCAACAGTTGTACACACATACAGTCATAATATTTTTATTAAAACATGTTTAATTAATTGCAGAAAATATGACAATTCTTGATGTCACACAATGATTTTCAGACTGCGACACATTTACTTCAAAACAATGGGCTCTAACAGCCACCCATGTAGCCATGAGGGACAGGGACGCAGTCTCACTTCCTGCTCTGAAATGCAGGATGTGGCTACAAAAGACTCCGCCCACTGACTAAAACATTTGAGCCTGTTTACACCTTGCAACATGCTTTTTTGGCGATCAGATCACATTCGGATTTCACTTGAGGACTTGCAGGAAAAGTCAAGTGTAAACACCCTCAGGATGCACTGTGAGCAGAGTACGATCTGATCACTTAAGCCGCATTCGGAGTTAAATCCTGAATAAAGATGGAGGATGTGTGAGGTTGAAATTAGCCCCAAAACAAGGCTGATGAAAGTGTGCAGGCCGAGCTTGTCCACTTGAAACGTAATAGGGAAATGGGTAAACAACAGTAAAACTGAAACGACATAGATGTTGGTTTGCTTTTTACATGGGAAAAGTACAATCTGATCTCATCTGGTCAAACTGGGGATGCGTTTTAGTGAAAAAAGCATAAATGGAATCTGGCCAAAGTTTATCAAGATACAATCCAGGTACAAAACACATGTTAACCTCTTAAATGGTCAAAATTTCATTACACACTTACTGTTGTACTGAATGATGCACCTTTTAAAGGGGTTAATACAAAGTGTAAACAGGCTTTTATTTAAAAATTAAACTCATGATAAATCCAAATCTTTCAACTTCACTATAAAATAAATCAAGATGATATTAAAACAAAAAAAGAAGTAAAAACAGCAAAAAAAGGAAGTATATAGTATAACAGGTTGAAATTTAGGGGTTAGTGTTTGGGACGGCCACCCCTCAATAAAAAGTATTGCAATGCTACAACTTTTCTTGAGTGCAAAGCAAAAAAACCCTCACTATTCTAGCACATATGCTTAAAATGTTAGCTGTAACTACAGATAAACAAATTATTTGTGGTGCCTTCCCAATACATCACAGCAACAAGTTAGAAGTTAGAACGTTGATAAATGTCTCATTTACTGTTTTCTTTTATTCACATTTACTTGCCTATTTTACTAGTTTTGCTTGTTGTGGCATAATACGATTGTGAAATCTAATGACTTGTCAGCTAAATGATTGTCAGCTGAAGTAATTATGATTAGGTGATTATGTAATAGTCGTGACAGGCCGAAGGGTCCATATTTGCCTTATAGACGTCACGACCCCTGGTTCCTATCACCTCCACTGTGAATAAATTTGAGCTGGTAAATTTCTCTACAATGCATTTAAAAAACGAAAAATCAATGAAATCCCCTTTTATGCAAACTTCACTCACTGCTTGCTGGTACATCTAACCCCATTTCTGAGATTTATGCCAAAATTGAGAAACCTAAATATAAAACAACTAATTATGAAACCATTAAAAAAATCATATGTACTTAAAAAAGTTCTATTGTTTAGTAAAGGCAATAGTTCTATTTAATTTCATGCTAAATGGTGCTAAACGGTTTTTTGCATGGTGAGATGGTTCTTTAGATTGATGGAGAATGTGCTGTATGTGGTGCTATATGGAACCTATTTGAAAATGGTAATATGTAGCACCAAAAGGGTACTGCTACTGTTAGAACATCAAGCTTGTAACAATAGAAGAACCCTTTTTAGTGCTATATAGAACCATTATTAATCTAAAGAACAATCTTCTTGCAAAGAACCATTATAGACCATATATAGAACTTCTGAAGGACCATCTCTTTTAAGTGTGGATAGTAATTTTTTTTACCTGGTTTTAGTGAGTAAATAACTACAAATAGTAGATATTTTAGAAAATATCCTGTGATGCAACCCTAACCTGTCCAGCACTGAGCCGTTTGCTAAATCTGCAATGTAAAACAACCGAGCAACACAAGACTCATACAGTTTGTTATGCATTTGCATATTTATTCATTATGAAAGCTTGTAGGCGTTAGTGTACATACTGCATTAAGACTTAAGTACAATAGCGCTGATGTTTATTATTCTAATTAATGTCTCATTATCGCATTCGCAGCATTTCTAATTGCCTTCCTGATAGGATAAATACCATGTGGCTCCACGCAAACAAAAATCAAAGTGCAGAGCGGCGAGAATCTGCGCGACACGTCGCCCTCTGCCGGCCAATTAAACCAATGACGACAACGTTAAAAAAAAATCCAAGCCTGCCTTTCAGATCTTCAGATTATCTCTTCACTTAATCAAGTCACCAAGCGCATATTTTATTCATTCTGAATATCTTCTGTGTGCTATTTGATTTTTTTTCCCATATTACATTAATGCACGCGCACAGACTGTTATATGATTTATTGAACTACAAGTGAGACATTCAGCGCGGATACTGACGCCACTCCATCACTTCGAGTCGGTAAAGGAAAATCAGGGATATTATTGCACAGACCAAACAAAGGGGCGGGTCAGAAAGCCGTGCGCCCACGCTCATTGGCTGAAAAGCCTGTCGATCACCCTCACAGCGAGCAACGCGTTACTGCCGGTGTCCGCTTGCACTGTACATCACATGACCTACCCTATATCAACACACGGCCGCCATTAATCCTAAAAGCAGAGACGGAAAAATCAGAGGTGAGACACTTTTGCGTTATCTGCTTCGGTTGCAATCGCTAACGTCCACTTTCAGCATGTTAATGCGCCGTCTTTGGTAAATTAGAGTGAAAAGAACACGTTCTCAGATTGTGTTCTGCACTACTCCGCTGCGAAGAAGCCCTGCAAACCTTGTTTTATCAGCAAAAGTGGGCAGAGTTGTTAGCTAGCTAGCTAGCTAACGTTAGCTGGCTGCTAACTTGCTAACTCGGCCAAAAACAAGGCCTGGTGTTTTTCCTCTGTCTGCTGTCGGTACAGCTCAGCTAATCCTTTCGCATTCTGATAGTCTGAAGTTATAGGGAATGTATTACATTGACCTTTCTGTGAGGTGGAGATCTTGGGCTACTTGTTGGAAAGCTAACCTTAGCGCTTTAATTTGTTTTTATTTCCTCAGTTCGGTTCAAATTTGAGAAAGACGTTGGTTTAACGGCCCAAAGACAAAGTAGTCCGCATCGCTTACTTTCGGGCAGTTTATCTAGACTGCTGTCAACTTTGTCTTTTAGCCTGAGCGCTGTTTGCTTTGTTTGTAAGTTAGACGAAGCCCACCGCGAGTCGTGGTGCCTGAACGTTGCTGTCCCGAGGCCAGAGACAGACATTTTGAAAGGTCAGTGCTGTGTGTGAGTGTGTGCTGCTGGCTCGGCCGATGGTCTCCACTAAAACGCTTAGAGCTGCTCAGGCATCGCACTACATTACCTGTCTTTCATTTCACCAGCTGGCATAATAAATCCCCTGCACGATGGGCCTCGACTTTTGCTATATTTATGGAGTGAATAAGTGACCTAGATGAAGAAACCAACATCTGAACGCTTATTAAAGAGCTTACAAGCTCCTAAGCTGTGCTAAAATGGCTGAGAAGGCTGCAGGAAGGCCAGTTGTGAGTTCGCACGGCCTTGAGTAGCTCAAGGTGTTTCTGCACCAGCTACACAGGAAGAACTGGATGTACCGTTTCCCCCTAAACAGAACCATAGAGCCATGTCTTTATTCACACACACACCCTTGTATTTGAGTAATAACTTAAGGCACCGGCCTAAATTCCACTGATTTTTTTTTTAAATGTCTGCATAATGAGATGGTTAAAATGTTAACAAGGTCATTCAGAGTGGTTTGATGTTAAATGCTCCTTTCTAGAGAAACTAGTTGTTTACGGTGGTGGTGATAGGAATCAGACGTCTGGACCGTTTATTGTCTCTGAAAAGCTCCATCCGGGAACGTTATTGCCTGTCTAAGACAATGTTTTGACATGTTTTAGGCCAAGACCATCTCAAAACCATGTATTTCTTTGGCTGAGAGGTACTTGCAGGGTGTTGCAAGGCAAAAAAAGACTTCAAATAATAATTATGCAAAGTTTGCCACTATTTTAGCGTTATCAACATTGCATCTCACAACTCAGAAAACATGAGTTCACAGGTTGTTTTGGATCGCAAATAAAATGGCTTTATTTGCATTGTAGACATTGCAAACCCTGTTTCCTGTTACCACGACTCTGAGTCGGTAGGTTTTTCTACATTGAACCATGTTAGATGTCAGCAATATGATATGAGCTGATATCTTGGTAAATGAATCAGATGGTGTCGCAGTATGTGGATATTGGTGAATTTTTTTTTTAAGGACTTAGACCAACTAACTGCATATGTTATTACACAGAAAAAGTAATTAGATCAGTTTAATAGGTTTCAGTGCAGTTCAATGTGTGAAATGTTCTTTTTTGAATGTTGCACTGCTGGTGCTTTTGGTTTGTTCCAACTCATCAAGCCACAGACAGCCTAAATATGGTGATTAATGTGTGTTTACAAAATCCCTTTAAGTATCACTGTGTTCCCACCGCTAATCTGCGTTCAGAAAAAATACCAAATACCAAAAGAACCAAACAATAAGGGTCACAGAGGCAGTCTTTTCCTTCCTGCACTCCTTTAGAACTCAGTGGAAGCCATGAAGTGGTGGGGAACTTTCTAGAGGCGTTGAGAATGTTCTGGATAAAGTTAGGGGTCTCTCAGGGTTTCTTCTTCCCTTGCAGTACCTCTTTGGGGCAGCACTTTCCTGCAGGTTAACTTTAGCAAATGGGAGTTGGAAAATAGCAAGAGACCAAGAGCGCACAGCTAAACTCGCTGCATCAGAAGGAAGCTATTTTGATTCTGTACTGTAGGGGGGGTATTTATAGAGCAGCTGATGCTGTTTCTGTGTGACAAGTCTGTCGGACAAAGTTAGTAATGTGAAAATAAACCATGCATGAGTTTCTCAGAACGGTCCCCAGATTTAAGCAATCAAGCCTCAGTGTGTTCTCAGGGGTTTGGCTGAGTCTGTCTTAAGCACGCCTAGATCGTAAAGCATAACTATTTATAACCTCACCTCTTTGCACAGTCTTAATTCCTGAAAATGTCACAAATGCGTGACTGTACCCTCGGTCCAAGGTTGGGGATAAGATCTTTTGGAAGCCAGCATGGTGTTCTTATCGTGCCGAACAGTCTGCCGTTCTTGATGACAGTGAAAACAGTCATACTGAGTCATGTTTGTGCTGAAGGCGCATGGCTGTGAAATTAATTCTTTTTAATTAATTTGCATGCTCAGGTCGCTTCAAGAACTCAACCGGTATTTGATCTGCGAGTCTCTGTTATGACCCGACACCCTCCATGTATTGTTAATTTATTAAGTAGTAAGTGTTTCCACAAGTTGTTTAAATGTTTTAGTCCCCTAGTCAAAGTGTCTTTGATCTGTATCTCCCAGTGACCCTCAGCGATGGATTCAAAGCCTCGTCGGCTGCCCTTCACCATCTCCAGCTCTTCGTCCCTGTCCTCGCCTTCGTCCCTCTCCTCTTCTTCCTCGGCTCTCAGCGCCAGTCGGCTGTATGGCAGAGGGAGTGTGCTGGGGAGTGATCGCTTCAGCAGGGGAGGTGCAGGAAAACTAGACTCTGACTACCAGGTACTGAATTTAGATGCAGCTCCACAGAGTGAAACCTTCTCCTGGGCACATTACTGTATGGTCTGTTTTAGAGTTTGCCGAATTACACTTTTTCCTTTTCCAGTACTGATGGTGAAATTAAGGTTATCGGCTGATACCATCGTTTAAAAATATTATGCTTTAAAATGGGCTATTTTTAAAGTGCTTAATTTTAGATGGCAGTCAATGGGTACTATGCTTGAGAGGGCTGAACGATTTGGGGAGCATATCTAATTGCAGTTTTTATGACTAATATTGCAAATACGATTTAAATTGCGGCTATTTATTATAAATTAAGGTGCAGGCCTGTTTTTTATTTGGCCAGAATATCAACGTTTTCTGGCTTGAGCTTTGATCTGTGAATGTGCAAGACTGCCAGTAAGTTGTGGTTGTGATGTCACAACACATGGAGGTTTGGTTGCCACTGATTGGTCTAACTACCGGCAGTTGACAAGCTCTGTGTTATAAGGTTAAATTTCCCCACTTAAAACATAAGACAACATTTTTGATAATGTAGGCTATAATTAAAAAAATGCAGCTTTTGCAATTTGAAAATTGTACCCTATTAAATTGTAATTTCAGTATAATAATGATTAATCTTTCAGCCTTGGCTCCAGCTTTTCAAATAAACACTGTTACCCTACAAGGAGAAATGTATAGCCAATAATTACATACTAAACAGTTTGGCACGTTCACAAAAAAGCAGTATCACTTGGTGTAACCTATGAAATTTTAATTAAATGAAGTGTCATGCTAATGTAATTCAGTGACCTTCCTATATCTGAAACATCTGATTTTTGATTGTGCCAGCATGCACCAGAGGAAGGTGAAAACGTTAACCAATATCATCATGGTTTATCTCCGACTTTCACCACTTCAGTCTGTCATTGAGCAGAAACTCCCAGCTAGCACAAAACCTCTCCATGATACCCAAATTCCAATGACTAACTTAACTTTGCTTGTATTTTTCAAGCAGATTAAGCAGCTCTGATTTTTAGAGCTAGATATGTTGTGGAATTGGATCAGGATTGTGGGTTTTTATTTATTTATTTATTTGTCTCCGATGACATCTAATACTAGCTATTGGGCTGGTGCCAGCTTTAATCTGTTTTTGTGAGAGGGAGGGATTGACACTTATCCCACCCTCACCCCTCTCTTTAGAACCGCTAATTACAATGAACGAATTGGCCTGATTTCAGCATTTAGCCCAATTGTAGAACTGTGATCTAATCAGATGAGGTTTGGGGGGGCCCTTCAGTACGTACTTCATTTGAAAAGTTTTTGGAAACTTGCACTGCCTTCTGGGCTCCTCTGTTGAGATGGAAAGATGGAAATAGATCTGCGGGCAATGTTAGCCCTACTAGTTCTGTTAGCATCCTACTCTCAGCGGTCCTGCTGTGTGTGTGAGAAGCTCTTCATGTTACACAAGCTTGGGTTATTTATTTTTTTTTTACGGGACAGGCCAGATTGCTGGCCCCTAATGGGTTTCAGCCAGCTTGGCACAGGGTGTCTTGCTAGATAAGGTTACTGGAGCAGCCAGAGTTGTTTTTGACCCTGTAAATGTGTGTGGAAGATCACATGCAAAAACAAGTGATAACTAAACACCATGACATGACATGACATTATCCAGGGTGAGCACAGAATGCTTTTTAAACATGGCTTGTCACCACTAGCCTCCAAAACACCTTTGTTTGCTTTAACCAAACCAAAACGAGGGGGGCCTTATCACACCTTGGAGGACGTGTTTGTCTTTGTTGTCCCCACTTTTAGTGCTGTCGTGCTTCATTTGTAAGAATTTGGGATTTGGAAACTGTTCTGAAATGCACTTTTGTTTATTTTGTGTTAAAATATTGTGATGTAGTTTTGATAAGAACCTGGAGCCTGACATGCTACCACATGCAGGTATCTACCTGAGATAGAGGGCATTTTATAGAAAAATGGTTGCACTCTGAAATATCCGATGACAACTTGTTATTCTCAGATTTAATTGAAGTAATAACCAGGAATATATATTTTTATTTTTTTTGTAAATCAGCATTGGTGGTGTATTATCATGTATGTAGTGGCATATTTTGGCTGCTTAGTATATTCCTGCTGTCTTTTAAAATGACTTGTAACCAATCTAACATGCTATTTTGGGGTCATTTTTTGCCCCCGTACTTACATTTTAAGCTGCAAGAATGTTCAGTGTTGGTGCGTTTTTGACTCTGATCTGTAACTAATTTCTGTCTATATCTTGTAACCGTAATGGTGTTCTCTTTCCCTGTATTTCAGAGCCCCTGCCTTTCTGGAGCCACAAGAGATTACAGCTCCTCAGAGAGCCGACACTCCAGATGGAAGTTGTCCACGCCCCTCTCTTCCTCTTCCTCCTCTTCCTCTACATCTTCATGTGATCGCCAGTGGACAGAGTCTTCCTATGGGGGAAGAAGCAAACCTGTAAATGTTTAACTTTTTTTGTTCAGTTATGAGTCATTTATTCACTCTTTTCCCCCCTTAGAAGCTTGTCTTTCTGTAAGCTTCCATGCAGATCAACATCATGCCTCACAGGTTTTTATGTCTCCTCACTGATGTCATGTACAGTGTGACTCCAGTTCTTTGCTGGATTTTGTCTCTGCGATCATCGATGATGTCACTTGCTTGGGTCAGCATGAGATAATGGTGGTTCTCCCCCTCCCAATGTGTGTTGTTACAGGTTGACTCAGAGAGAGGACTAGGGTCATACTCCAGCCTCCTTGGCACAGCTCAGGACAGTGAGTCCAAGAGAGCCAAGCTGTCCTACACAAATAGAGCAACATACAGTAGAAGCCCATTTACCTCCACACCCAGCAGCACATACTCAAACCTGGGAGGCTTGCCAGGTACTCTCACACTGGGCAGAATAAAGTCTGTGAACATATGATGGTGTAATTTTACATGAAATATGATTCTTAGGAAACAAAATCTTCTGCACTAGCTTCATTCTTTAAAGCTGAAGTCATAGCTTTTGGAACAACTAATGAGTGGTTAAAGCACTGATGTCAGGGTATAAAAAAATAGTAGGGATGCATCAAATCCTTTTTTTCAGGCCGAGTTTAAGTACGTTTTGTGGTACTTGCTGATAAAGATTCCGATACCATACTGAGTTATCTTTTTAGAATTAAGTAGTTGTTAGAGTAAATGAGTGCAATGTACCTTCATTTAAGTCTTGAAAATTTAGCAGATTTTAAATTATGTGCATTAGCTTGTGATGTTACATTAGTTACCTTGGATCGAGTAGCGTTGCAGTGGAGAAAAGCAGGTTTTGCTCTGCATCTGAAAAGAGTTTCTGTAAAGCTGTCAGTAAAGTATGTTTTATAGTTTTGATCCTGCGCTTCTAATCTGTCTTGACAGCAATCTGCAGCACAGTGACAGCAGGAATCACATTTAAGGTTAATGCATTCGAGGAGCTCAGATTGAGTTTTATGTCTTGTGAGTCTTTTGTTTGTCTGGTTAAGCTGTAGTTGAATGTCTTCAAAAGGCAGGCGCACTGAGATTTTAGTAATCTTGTGCTTTGCTGACTCACCCTGTACGTTTGAATAGATCTGTGTATGAACATGTTCATATCATACAATCATATTTGTAGCCTCCATGTCTCCACCCGTTGTGTGGGTGTGTGTATGTGTGTTTAAAGATGGCCTAAATTAACAGTGTAGGTCTGGCAGGTATTTGCCAAGGCAAAATGTTCAGTGACCAGCAACTAAGGGTTCGTCTGCCACAGTTAAGTAGCACGTCTCTGGGACGCAAAACTTGCTTCTGTGTCGGCTTGAGTTGCTGTGTACGCTGCAGCGCCAGTGAACATAGTCTGATGTCACATATCAGGTATCAGGTGGTATCGGATGTTGGTATCGGTGCATTTTTATGAGTATCGGTATTGGTATTGATGCATCCCTAAAAAAAATCGTGCAAAAATATGTAAATTTCAGTCAGGTGTTGCATGTTATAATTAAAAAAAAATCTACATGTTACATGACTGCTGTACCTGGTAACAGAGATGTCTTGGCTTACATATGATAGTGAAGTTTATAAATATTAGAAGTGTAAGTTTTTATTTTGGTTTTATAAGATTGAAGGTGAATCTTTTAATGGAAGTGCATGTATACCTGTATTTGATTTAAACATTAATATGTAGTAATTTGTATTGTATACTTTTTTTAATTTCAAATCCAATGCACTGAAGTATGAAGCCAAAAAAAGCATGAACACTGTCTGAATATCCAGAATATTTTGTACATTTTATAACATCATTTATATCTAATCTGTATTTCTTTGATTATGCAGGTGAATAACAAACTGACCTTGTGTTTAGATTCATCTTGGAAGTCCACAATCAGCCCTTTGTCCAGGTCCTCTTCATCCTCTTCTTCCTCATCCTCCTCGTCTTCATCAGAGGGTCTGTGGGCTCGCAGGGAAGCAGAGAAGAGGGTGGACCCTGGACTGCCTAGTCTGGGGGAGCCCAACAGCTACAGACCCACATCACTGACCTCCTCACTGTGTATGTATACGTTTACTGCAGATTTCCTGCTGCCTATGCCCTTCAGATTGTGATCCCTAGTGCCTCTGGCTTTTTCGATGCTCTGTGTTCGAGACCTGTGCTGTTCTGTGTTTCTTCATTTTCCTTTGCTGTATCACCCAAAGTACTTGACCTGTACATTTCCAACAAATAATTATAGCATTTCAGGTCAGTTATTTGAAGATGATTGACCTGAATGATTCACACTCAGTCTGCTCGAGTAGGTCTGCGGTTGCTCTGATTATACTGCTGCTTTTTAAGGAATAATTTGGCACAAATATCAAATTTATACGTGGCCCAAATGTAGTCGATTCAGGTAAGGCATGTTTGGTAGACAAAATTCAGACTTTAAAATGACTGTTACTACTGTTTTTTGTGATGTACTTTTTCCTCATTTTTGTAGCACCAGAAACCACATCTGCAATTCTGTTAGAGGTTACTTAACAGCTCTAGTCCAGCGTGTGATCATGTAGGCAAGCTGGTTGCACAATGCCAAGTGGTAAATTGGATGCAACCTCCCATTACTTGTATAACTACTGTAGCCTTGTTGCTCCAGTGCAAAATTAAAGAACATGAGACACTAAACTTGGCTGATCACAAACGTCTGGGATAAGTGGGTAAACTGTGCTGTTATTTTTTGTTTGTTGTTTTGTTTTTTGGCTATACTATTCCTTTAAAGTCAGGTTAAGCATGAGGTCTGCCTTAACTGGAGCACAGAGAGAATCGGGATACGTCGGAGCTGTACATATAGTAACTCGGATCATAATTCAAACCAGACATGCCAGACTATAATTCACTAAGCCACTATGTTGTAAACTTTGAGGTGAGCTCATAAACAACCTTGATTATACTGTACACATTTTAGCCAAAATAACATTCAGACTCTCAAGAAAATGTTTCCGTACTAAATTGTGCGTTTGCCATGAGAAATGTTGGGAAGTTGCAATTTCCCTTGCTGTCAAAGTGTTTGTACTGGATAATTTATGCACCATTAACAAACTTGCCACAACTTACAGTTTGTTTTCAGTGGTGATTAGAGTTTGTCTCATGCAATCAGGCTTTTTACAGGAATGAATGTAGACACCAGCAACTAATGAAAGAAAGTAGTCTGGGTTGGGGTGTTAAAGAAATCAGCCAAGGCTGAGACAGTAGAAGGCAGAGTTGTGTGAACAAGTAGTACTTCTTATCCCCAAGGAAACAAAACAGAATGTAAATGTATTGGATGTTACAGCAGAATTAGCATCATTGGATTTCTTGACCAGAATTGCGTTTTGCTTCAGTTTACTTTTTTAGCTTGAAGTTTTGAAAGAAATCCGTATGTACACAGCATATCTGACTCAATACTTGAGATGTCAACAAACTTTCAAACTTTGTTAGACGTTATGGATCACCTGTACTTCAGGTCAAAATATAACTGTGGACTGAATGTTGAGAGCAGAAGCCACAGTACCCTTGTATAACCTCAGGCAAAAATGTCTCAAAAGTTTGAGTGAAGAGAAGATACTGTTCTGTTTCTGTTTGCACATATTATAGGGCCTGGATGGAATTCAGCTCTGCACGGTACTGCAGTCTCTATAACTTTATAAAAATGCCACGAGTCTTGATGATGTCAACCCTCTATACTTGTCAGTGTTTGGTGTGATGAAGCATAATGATGCATGCACATCCTCTGCAGATTTTCTCACTGTTTAGCTAAATACAGGGTTAGGTATTAATTGACTTAAAGCTTGACCAACACACATGCCGTCATAATTGCCACGTCATTGCCTGATTTTATTTGCCAAGCAATGTCATTGGCTTGCCAGTTACACTGATAACATTTGGGAACAAAAATATTGTATTATACTGTGTACAAATTCAGAAACAAAAGGATTTCAGTTCATTTGGTAGGTGATTTTGTTAAGTACAATAGATTCCATATGTATATTTCACCATTGAGTGACATGTTTGATAACTGACAATCATATCAATCACTAAAGCGATGTTTGCCTAAAACTAATGAAGATAATTATATTTGTCAGTATAATCTGTCTGTATTATCAGAATTTAGCCCCATACTATAGTCATCTGTATCACAAAATTTTCATGTTGTTTGGGCTCTAAACCACATGTTTGTGTTCATTAAGTCCAAACTTGAAATGTAACGCTTTATACGTTGTATTTCAGATCGTCCAGAGCGTGTGACCTCCACTTATGCCCAAGGAGCTCGACCCAAAGAGAGCCTGTACTCCTCCCGCAGAGAGAGCAGCTCAACCAGCCGTCGTCTCTCCTCAGAGTACCTCTCATCCTCCCTGGAGCGCAGCTCCCACAGGCTGGCTTCTGATTACCAGCCAAGTCCTCGTCTCCCTCGAGAGACCCCGAGCTCCAGTGCCACCCGCACCTCAGTCTCTCGGTCAGATCCTTTGTGCCTCTCCTCCTGGAGCTCCTCCCCTTACACACCCCTCAATGAGTGTACTTCCAGCCCTCCTCAGTCTAGACCTGTCCCTGCGCCAACTCCCGCTCCTGAGGGCGGAGACTCGGATGGCAGAAGCACCACCAGGAGGCTGCTGTCTCGCCTCTTCTCCAGGCGTTCCAGTCAAGAGTCTAGCTCCACCTCCAGCACTAACTCCGCCTTGAGGTCGTTTGACACCACCCCTGAAGAGACCCCTCACAGTGAAGCCCCACCCACAGTCAGTAGGGAAAGCGTGGAATCAGATCCAGCCCAGGCATTTGCGTTCCTGCGCAGGCGTGAGCAGGCTCTGTCTCCTGTGCAAGAGAATGCAGATGTGGAGGCGGAAGCAGAGTCCCTCAGGGCTCCAGCAGGGCTGTCCTGGCTCAATTGGAACCGCTGCACCCCTCTATTTTCCCATCGGCGGAGAGAGGGCCGTGACGAGAGTGCCCGCATGGAGGCCCGCCAATCACCACCGTTCCCCCTCAGCAGCCCAGAGGGGCGCAAAACACCTGACAGGGACACACACCATGATGAAGAGGAGGAGGATGATGACGTGTCTGAGGGAGCGACAGCCGCTCCTCCTGCTGGAGCCTCAGGACTTTCCTCAGCCCTCTTACAGGATGCCTCCCGTCTTCAAGGGCGGAGCCCTGGTGTTACCAGGGTGTTGTCGAGCCCTTTGTTCCGCATGCCTGAGAATGTAATCATTGGATTGGATGTTGGAATAGAGGGGCGAAGTCAGGCTGAGGCACAAGCAAAGGAAAAGCCTGCTCCCTCCAGAGACCCAGAGAGACTTCGGAAGATCCAGGAAAGGTGAAATACTGTCCATTGATCATGATTACCCTTTAAAAGCTGCAGCTTGAGTAGAGTTCATGCTTTGGTTCTACAGCAGTGGTTACCCAGGCAGGTTCTGCTGTATCCTTGCTCTGCACATTTTAGTGTTTTCCCTACTCTAAAAGGCCTACTTCAGCTCATTAAGAGCTCATTAGTAAGCTAATTAGTTGGATCGGGTCTGTTAGAGCAGAGAAAACAGCAAAATATGCCAGCAAGTCTGATCTAGACCCAGAACTAGGAGCCAGTGTTAATAGGCAGTCACCTGTGGTGTACCAGATCAGTAATTTTATTTAAAGCTCTTGGTCACATTGTGACTGGAAGGTGAGGCTGAGATGGCAGTCTTTGGTCTGTTGCTAAATAATGCATGAACCTTGTCTGGATGTCTGGCGCACAAGATGCATTTCATGGCAGAAATAAGGCCTTGCTGCAGGAATCCTCACTGTACGGTGACTACAAAAAAGTATGTGTGGTCATTTTGGGATGTAATGGAAAAAGTTGCCTGTTATGAGTCTCAGTTGGTCACTGCTGCAAAGTGTGTTCTTTCTATATCCGTGCGCCATTTAGAGCTGCGCAGTGTGTTGTAACCTTTCAACCTTTCGGTCAATATTTCTTATGCCTCATTATTAGTCATGTCGTTTGGCAAGAAAGTGTTTTAAAATCATCTTCTACCAGCGGTGTTTGGTATCACACAAGATTCAATGTGCATCATTGCCCATTTGACTGAGCCACTATTTGGCAAATTTGTTGACCATGCCACTGTTTTTCTTGATAGTTTGCTATTGGAGGACTCAGATGAGGAAGAGGGGGATCTGTGCCGGATTTGTCAGATGGGAGAGACCTCCAGTTCCAACCCGCTGATTGAGCCATGCAGGTGTACAGGCAGTCTTCAGTATGTGCACCAGGACTGTATCAAGAAGTGGCTGCGCTCCAAAATCAGCTCCGGTAAATATCTTGCCTTTCCTCTGCTGACTAATCCTTTAACTTAGTCATTGATGATAACGTCGTCATGAAGAGACATGCAGCAACTGAAGCAAATAGAAGTCGTATCAGCATATTCATTTCCAATTTTGTCCTTAATTTTGTTCTGACTCGGCTGCTCTGGCTCTCGTGACTCTGCAGGTTCGACCCTGGAGGCCATCACTACTTGTGAACTGTGCAAAGAGAAGCTGCACCTGAACATCGAGAACTTTGACATTAATGAACTATACAGATCTCATGAACGGGTAGGAGCTTCTTGCTTGCACACAAACACACCTGGGACAGATTTCTTAAAGCAGCATTTTATAGTCAGCCAGTAATCGATGGACTCACTTAAGGGAACTGTAACCTGGATTAAAATATTAAACATGGTGATGCTGAAAATGTGATTTGAGTTTGATTAAAACAAATATGTCTAACTATATATTAAGTAGAATTAAGAGTTAGAACCACTCAACTGGTGTACCTGATCAGGACGGTGTGGTGTTTTAGACTGTTATTCCTTCTAAATATACATCTAGGAACAGGGGATGTGCATGGGTACTCACGTACTTCAACTGTTCCATGTGCCAGGATTTCAAAACTGAAATCACTATTTGGGTATTAATTGCATTGCATCACAGGAAGGCAGAGAAAATATACAGCCTAATGATTTTGTGGAGTGGTGATTTTTCGTTTTAACATGACTAACACGACTACGAAACTACTTCCTGTAGAACATGACCTCACCAGTCCTCATCGGCATCCAGCATTGCACTGCCTAGCTCTAGTGAAGAGGCTAAGTTGTAGCTCATTTGAAGAGGCAGCCTGTAATACTTATCCAAAATTAAAACCAACCGAATTCCCTTTGCCTACTTTTTAATGGGGGGAAAAAGGTTTTAAACATTCCTCTGGGCGAAATGTTAGTGCTACTAGCATTTTTTTTGCCTCCAAACTACCCATGCTGTCACCTCAAAATGTAAACCTACAGCCCTTCGTTTATTTTAGCTGAACTCCTTTTATTTCAGTTTATTTTTGCCTTCCCTGCAGTTAATCCAATATCCATTCATTTGCTCTTATGAATACCTGAAAATGTAAAAATTGTTGAAATGCTGTCCCTTAACAAAAGGCATATAAAGTTAATGGCATGATGAGATAGAAGAAGAAAAAAACAAAGAGGATAATAAAATAAAATGACTCTAATTCTGATCGGAACATGAAAAACTAAACATCACCCAACACATAAAGGTGCGTGAATGCTGAACTTCAGCTGATATACTTCAAGTATGCATGTATTTGAAATCTATGGATAGGAAAGATGCTGAAAGCAAGATATCAAACTCAAAGTGAACAGTGGCTCCTGTCCCACAAGTATCTGAATTGAATTGTCTCTTCCCCTTTGTTTGGGTTTTTAGTCTGAGTACGAGTTCATCAGCTGTGGTCTGTACCTGGTGGTCCTCTTGCACCTGTGTGAGCAGAGGTTCTCTGATGTTCTGGGAGCAGTCAATGAAGCTGGGGTAAGCACCTTCTACTGTACACCAGCTTATCCGTCTCAAACTGTCAGATCTGTATCTCAGCAAATAAACCATCTCCAAAATACAGTACAGTTCAGTTTTTCTCTGAAATGTGATCTTTTCAACAACAATGTGACCTTTACTTGAAGAAAACATTCTCCCCCTCTCTCGCTCAGTTGTTCAACTTGGCGAGAACTCTTCACGAACACATGGACAATCTTGAAAGTACGTTTCGAATAGCTTTTTTCCTTTCTTTACTTTGGTTCTTCCTCACCACGCTTTGTTCTTGTTGTCTAAGATTGATTGATTCAGTGAACGTGGTAATATCAGAATGATTTGAAATTCAAAATGGGCAAAATTGATTAGTTTTTTGGGTAAGTACTATTTCGCAAGGCTAATGTTTAAAACTGAGTGGTATTAAAGAAATTGCTATTGGGGAAGATGGGTGTGCTGGAGCATGGCTTCTGATGTCTGCAAGCATATGTACTCACTAATATGCTACATAGTGAATGGATTGATTTTTATAATCACATTGACATATTTGTTATGGCATGCCCACTGTAAGTCTGTAAGCCCTAGGTTTTATTTCTAAATTAATTGATCAATTTAATTGACCTTCCTTCAGTAATATTTCCTTCTTTGTGTTCTCATGATCTCTCTATCTTGCTCTTCCCCCTTACTCATTCTCTTTTGCTCTCTTGCTTACCTGCTTGTTTTTTTTTTTTTCTCTCTTTTGCTCTTGCTCGCTCATGCTGTTGCTCTCTTCTATATTTTCTCACTCATACTCTGTCTGCCCTTTTGCTCTTACTCACGTGCTTGCTCTCCTTTGGCTCTTCCTTACTCACTCTTTTGCTGTTCTTCTCACTCTCTCTTGCCCTTCATTCATGCTCCTGTGCTCTCTCTATCCTTCATTCTTCCTCTTTTCCACACTCCCTCGTCCTCTCGTCTGCTCTCTGTCTCTCTTATTCTCAGGTTCTTATGCCGAATCTGATGAAGACGAGGTGCAGGACAGCAGGCCATCTATTGACTTCTGTGACCTAGAGGATGAAGAGGAGGAGGAGGAATTTTAATCATGTTGAAGGTGGAGTAGAGTAAATAGCCGACAATCTGCCTCCTCTCAGCGCTCCACCTCTGCTCATTCGCCCATCGAGCAGACATTTGAAACGGCGTCCCAGTGATGGTACCTTAAACACTGTCTACAGCCCCATGGAGGGCTCTCATGATATGCAGATAAACTTTTCTTGGGGAGTGTTTGGCACCCACCCACCCACTCACTCACTCACCCACCCTTGGGATTTGATTGAGAACTTCTGTTTATTTTGTTTTTCTCTCCTGCATCCGAAGTTGCCGAGTGCACTATGAAGCTTTATGCAGTGAGAAGAAAGAGCTGTTGGGCTGTTAAACCATGAGTGCTTTATTTGTTTACTATGCTAGCACACAGAGTGGGGTGAGGGCAGATCGGCAGTACTGGGGCTGGATTCTCTTAGATGGCGGTGCTGTGGATGAAGAGAAGCAAGGCAAACCTAAACTGTGTAAGACTGCATGGTGAAATGTGACACAGTATCAAAGATGGTGGAAAAAAAATTCCCTTTAATTTCTTTATGTTTAATGTGACAAATGGATTTGCTTTGAAGTGAGTTTTCGGAGAATGAGTGTGAGAATGGGGACTACTTTTATTCAGAGAGTGAGTTCACGGTCGACTTTTCCATTGTCTGTTTAAATGTCGCTTTCTAATTGTAATTTGCTCTGCTTACTGATTTCTCAATTTAATTAAAGTAATAAAAGTTTGTACGGAGGTACATCACACAGATCTGCTTATTGATTTCTGGGCCTATGTACTAATTTGTTTCGTGTAGAAGTGGTTTTCTGATGAGTCACTGTTTTAATTTGTTTCCAAAATAGGACTGGAAGTCCAAATTACAATAGTCTAACCTAATAATGTCCCAATCAAATTAACCATTACGTACAAGTTATTTTAATTTTTTTTTCAAATGTTTCTAAGGAGATTAGACATGAGAACCCACTTGTCTAAGGAAGTAGCAAGAAATATGAAATAAATAAAATGGAGTTTCAAAAATATGTATTAAGATGTAGATGAACTGGGACTCCTAACCACCATGCAAATAGACCACCAGAACTGTCACCATCAGATAAAACAGTGCTTCTAATTTTTAGGTCCAGGCCTCAAAATCGCTGAATGTGTTTGGGGTTACTTGGATGGTGAGAAGCTGAAAATGAAACCACCTAAGACTGAACTTTAGAGGAGTAGAAAAAGATCCCAGCAGATTTCTCTGAAACTGAAAACAGGTCTGAAAAGAATGGAAAAAGTTGGACACCCTAAATAGTGAAGAATAAGATATATATTTAGTTGTTGAGGCTTCTGTACAGTTTCTGGTTAAATAGGTTTACCGTATTCTTTCCTCGCTGAAATATGAATAACTTAATGTCAGTTTTCACTTGACAGATTAAGGATGGCCGCTTTTATAGGTTCTTGCATTCTGAGATTCTCTTCAAGGAGGGTGACGAGGCTAATAACTTACACAGTTAAGAAATTTTGTTATTCTTTGTTGCTTCAAAATGTGACTTTTTTTAAGTTACAGTAATATAATACAAGGACAAGTAGTTTATTTAGATTATATTTCTATTGTGTCCATATATATCAACAGTCTGAACACAACTGTGTGTCTCAAAAAAAAGTCTTACAGGAGAAGGCAAACGTGTTCTTAAAGAGGAACTCCACAGAATAGTTCAAAATTTCTGCATAATGAAATTAAAATGTCAGCCAAGTTATTCAGAGTTTGGGCTTTGATGTGAAATTGTTCACAGTGGTGATGGGAACCAGACGTCCAAAGCGTTTTGCGCCTCAAAAAACTCCTTCACAGAAAGTTATTCAGGCTTGATCGCTTAAAAAAAAAAAGATGGTTCTTTAAGGGCTCATTAGTTAAGAAAATGGTTCTATATAGAACCATGGACACTCAAAGAACCCTTAGTATGATTAAAGGGTGATTTACAAGGGTGTAACAATATTCAAAAAGGTTCTTTATAGAACCATTTACAGCACATTTTCCAGCTGAAGAACGCTTTATGATGTAAATCATCAGAACCTTTTTGAATATTGTTACAATGTCAAGCTTGTTACAATAGAAGAACCCTTTTTGGTGCTATATATAAAAGGTTCTGTATGTAGGACCATTTACAGCACATTCTCCATCAATCTGAGGAAACCTTTTAAGATGCAAAGAACCCTTTAATCATGCAGAGTTCTTTTGAGTGTTCAGGGTTCTATATAGAACCATTTTCTTTATTAAAGAACCCTTGAACCATCCTTTTTTTGAGCTAGTCACCTATAAATAAATATGCGCTGTGGTAGGTCATTTAAAGGTTCATTAGTAAACAAAAACAAAATGGTTCTATATAGAACCATGAACACACAGAGAACCCTTTGCATGATTAAATGGTTCTTTGCATCATGAGAGTTCTTCAGATTGACAGAGAATGAGCTGTAGATGTAATAAGCTTGATATTGTAACAATAGAAGAAACTATTTCAGTTAGGTTCTATATAGAACCTTCTGCAGCACATTCTCCATCAGTCTGAAGAACTCTTTCATGATGCAAAGAACCACTTAATCATGCAAAGGGTTCTTTGAGTAATCATGCTTCTATATAGAACCATTTTCTGTACTATAGAACACTTGAAGAGCCATGTTTTTGAAGTGTGTAGAACACCGGGTTAGCGTTACTACACTGTTCTACCAGCAGATGGCGCTGCGCTGCTGTGATGATGCAACTTTACCGCTCAGACACCCGCCCATAGAAAGGCACCAGCAGCCGTGTTACGCCTGTGTCTCCGCGACGTGACCGTGATGTTCAAACCGACCTGAAGGGATATTTACACTAAAAAACAAACGCACCGCGACCCCCGACGAAAAGCTGCCTCAGCCCCCCGCCTCACTGCGTGCAGTTATGTCTCTGAGGCGCTGCCCTCTCTCGCCATGGCTGAAGTCGCAGCGTACCTGCTCCTCTTCGTTGTGCTGATTTTCTGTGAGGATGGGGAGCTGGGGGGCGCGCGGGCTGGCCTGCTCCCCCACGGCCCTGCCTCACCAACCCGGGACAATGGCAGCAACGCGACCACGGCTTCACCCACCGAGCCTGCAGGTAGAGACACGGCACAACAGCGCTTCAGCACCGCAGACATAGACAGGCTTTTTATAGCCCACGGTCTCTCATCATCATCACTGCCATCATCATCACCTCTCGTTCAGCGCTGCTGGACTGTTTGGGTGGCGCTCTCTCACTAACACGGCCTGTGGGTGTATTATTGTAGCAGATATTGATATTAGGGCTAATATTAGGGTGACGTTAATCTCATAGCTCTGGTAGTTTGGGGTTGGGTGTCGGTGAAAAGGGCTGGATGTGTTGTTCTCAGCAGCGACAGTAAACGGTAGCGGAGGGCTGATAATGTGCTAGGAGGGATAAATAAGTGATAAGGCTGCACTGTAACATCCCGGCTCCGGTTTCATGTCTGGTTTGGTTGATGATGCTCGTTTACAGCTGCAGTGTTTGTGTAGGATGGTGGAGTCTATGGGCTGCTGTAAGTGACCCTTTGGGAAAGGCTGATGTAGAAGAATAGGCCCCCATATGTTACCGTAACAGGCCTGTATAATAGAGTTAAAGGGACAGGCAGTCATTTGAAAGACTGTGTTTACATCACTTTCATACTTGTTTTTGAGGAAAAACCTTCATATGATTCATTTTCCAGGCATATCAGACTCAAAGTTTCATATAATAAAGCACCAATTACCATTTTAAAAGATGGCTCATCGAAGGTTCTTCAGTAAAAGCAATGGTGTTATTTAGAACCGTTATTTCTGTGTAGAACAGTTTGCATGCTTAAATAGTTCTTTGCATGGTGAAATGGTTCCTCAGATTGATTGATAGAGAATGTGTTGATTGTGGTTCTATAAAGCTTCAAAAAGGGTTCTCCTATTGTTGCAAGCTTGGCATCGTAACAGTAGCAGAACCCTTTTTGGTGCTATACAGACTCATTTTTAAAAACATATATATAAACATATACATCACATTCTCTATCAATCTGAGGAGCTATTTAAGCATGAAATACAACTCATGGGTCTAAATAGAACCACTGCATTTACTAAAGAGTGTAGGTTCTTTAGCAATGGTGGTGGTTCAGTCTGAGCTATTTCACCATGCAAAAAAAGTTTAAGCATGCAAATGGTTCTATATAGAACTCCAGGTTCTAAACAGAACAGTTCCCTTTACTAAAGAAACCCAGAAGCACCATCTTTTTTAAGAGTGTAGGTTCTCACATTCTGAGATTCTCTTTAAGGAGGGCATCAAGGCTGAAGTCCTTCTTTATACTGTTCAGAAATTTTATTACTCACTCTTAAAAAAGATGGTTCTTCAGAGGTTCCTCGATAAAGAAAATGTTTGTTCATAGAACCCTGAACGCTAAAAGAACTCTTTGCCTGTTTAAAGGGTTCTTTGCATTGTGAAAGGTTCCGAGCCTTTTTGAAAAGGGCTCTTCCATTGTTACAAGTTCAACATTTTTCAAACAGGTTCTATATAACCATGTACTTTAATCATACAAAGGGCTTTTCGAGTGTTCATGGTTCTCTATATAACCATTTTCTTTACTAAAGAACCCTCGGAAAACCATTTTTACGAGTTTTTTTTTGTTGCTTCAGAATTATAGCTTTCATAAGTTACAGTAATATTACAGTAATAAAAGGTTGTATAGTTTGTAAGCCTTTTTATTTACATTATGTTTCTATTATGCATCCATATTGATGATGTCCTAACACAAATATGTGTCTCAAAAAATCTTTCAGGAGAAGACAAACACGTTCTTAGAGAGGAACTTCACCAACTAGTTCAAAATTTCTGCATAATGAAGTTACAATGTGAACGACGTATTCAGAGTTCAGGGTTTGGTGTGAAAAACACCTTTCTAGACAAACTTGTTCACAGTGATGGTGATAGGAACCAAACATCCAAAGTGTTTTATGCCTATAAAGCTTTCTCATGGAGGTTATTACATTAAATAGTAAAGAACGCCTGAGATGCTGTTTTACAGTAGTTTTGACATAATATTTGTTTACATCTCAGCGATTCAATTACAGACAAAATTGGCTCAGTTCTCCTTTAATGTTTAATGTAAATTAACGGAACAAGAGTCCATTGTGGACCATTTCTATTGGTCCATCCATCATGAAATGTTGGCACAAAGTAAAAGACTGTGCTCAAATGGTGTGGATAAAAAATATATATATGACAGATGATATGATGCATGTTCAAGGTGCGGGGTGGGGAGGGTTGGAGTGTGTTGAAGGTACTTTTGCATAGTAAAACTTGATTTTTCCATTTCTTGCATTCTGAGCTTTACCAAAAGTTTATATCCTCCCTTAAATGTTTCAGTGCCAAAAAATAAGCATGTACTTAAAGAATGACTATAGGCCTTTACTGTAAATGTCAGGTTAGAGATTCTTGGTGATTTACAGTCAGATTATTGATTGATACAATTTCAAATGAGGAAAAGTTCAACCCACATTCACTGAATTGGGATCATTCCTGTGATGCACTTTGAGACCGGTTTGGTCGAGCTCTGCGTACGGGTGCAGCTTTCTGCTCATTTCGTTTATGGCAGTTGGCACTTTGATCTATTTTTAAGTCTCTCTGACGGAGCTGGGGTCTCTGTCTCATTATTATTTCATGGTGAGGATAAGGTTAATCCTACGGCTATCAATAAATAACAGCAGACGATGCAAACTAACCCCAAAATACAGTATATTGCTCTTTGTCATTTTTAACTGTTTAAGTGACAAAATGTAATTTGCAGGTATTTCACTGCAGTTCCACCCTTTCCATTTCTAAAGTTTTCCGTTTTCATAGAGTTGATCAGTTTACTTAATTAAAAGTAACCCTAACGCTGGTCATCACTTCTTTCCAGAGTTGTCCTTTCTGACTCTGAAGGTGTGGGTGAAGGATGCGTCTAGCCAGCGGTACCTGAGCGGGGCCGAAGTCCGAGTGTTTGTGAACGGATCTCAGCTGCACTCCAGCCAGACCCAGGAGAACGGAGAGGTCCTGCTGACCGTTCCCTACCAACTTGGGGTCACCCTGACCCTGGTAGCCAGCATGGATGCCTATGTACCTGCTCAGCTCCCCTGGAAGACCACCAAGATGCCCAGTAAGTCTGTTACCATGTTTTATTTAATGTTTCCAAAATGTTGGGTCTAAAGGGACATTAAGGCCTAAATCTAGCATTTAATATTATTCATGGTATGTGATATTCTGTAGTGCAGCATTGCCTCACTGGTTTGACAGAAATCATGATTTTGTATCCTCTTTGTGTTCTCTCACTACAGTACCCAACATGCATTGCACAAAATATGTCATGCAATCACTGGGGGTCCCACCATGATCATAAAAAAGATCCTGACTGCTATCGTAGCCAGTGATGTAGAGGCTAATAAATACAGACACAACAGCGCTAACTACCTGCATTCCTTCTACGTTAGTCAGCCTGTCTGGGAAAAGAAACCATTTCAAACAACCTGCCTTCAAGTATTCATCCCAAAATGGATCTCTGAAGTTTTTCCAAAGTTTTTTCATACTTTCAATATACATCATCAGACGGGAGTTTTCTTAATCTTCAAACTGGAAAATCGCACTCTGTAAACTACTAAGGCACCACAGAAGACCAGAAGGCATGTTTTCTACAGATGTAGTAATAGTTCAGTTTTTTACTTTAGCTGGAGTTCCCCTTTAAATGATGAATAATATACTTCATATAATTACTCAGTCATTTTTGTCAGGTTTTCTGATTTGATCACTGTTGAAATATAAGGCATTCTAACTTTATTCTTCATTCATTTTTAAAACTCACTTCTATAGCTGTCTCTGTCATTTTGGATCATCTACAGCTCCATTCTTCATTCTGGATGCATCTGCAGTTTCTTACCTTCTTACTTCAGCCTGTGATGCTGCACAGGACGAGCATAACTAGAATCATTCTATACATTTATCCGAGACAGAATTGCTTGTATATGGTTTGTATTTGGTTTGTTAGTTAATGTAACAGAATTTGCAGTTAGCGTTCTGTGTGTTAGTGTGTTGAGCTGTCCAATGACGTTGTGTTAACAGCAGTTTTAAAGGATGCGGTTCAGCTTAATGTGGAAGCACGTGCTGGGCTTCAGCTTATTAGCTGAAATTAAATGAAATTAAACTGAGTTTATATATATATATATATATATATATATTAGTTACTTTCTTTACTTTCTTAACTGTATTCATCATGAAATTTTAACACAACGGGAAAGGGAAACTGCCTTTTTCAAATGATGTCCAAAAATGGAGATACAAGGTTTTATCCCGACAGCAGATATTTGAACAGTGATTCCAAACTTTTGAACTCTAGTGTACATCCCTCCCACCTGAACATGTAGAGTTTCAAAGATTATTTTTTATTTTTTTTGGCGTCATTATATTTCTTATCTGATTTGGAATTTTGTCACGTTGCGTTTGAAACCAGAATAAAAGCAATTGCAGCTTTAGCGCTCTCAGTTACATTAAATACAACTTCAACCAGAGCTCAGTGTGTTGGAAACCTATTAGGAGAAGAGATTACACTGATATCTCACTCCTCCATTAAGATTTTTGTTTTACCCATATTCGCTCCCTCCTACCATCAGATAAGCGACTGTGTTCCAGGACAATGTCTCCGAGTTTAAACAATGGCTTTCACACAGTGCTGTGAGAGAAGCTTTCTGTGAGCTGCTCTGACATCACGCTGGCCTGTTTTCTAACACTCTGACAGCATTTTGACTCAGGCACAACTGACCTTTACAACACTGATACTAACACTACCGTAATTCAGGCAAAGCTGGGGGTGTCAGATCTGACCTGAACTTATTTTTCATGTTCTTTTTCAGTATTTTCTGCCGTTACCATGTCCCTGGTCCCGCAAACCCAAGGCAACATCTGGCTCTTTGAAGACACTGTGTTGATAACAAGAAAAACATCTGGTGCGTACACATGCTGAACCTAGTTTGAGTCATCCAGAAGCATATTTTGTTTATTTGTTTGTTTTTTTTATTTATTTCTGGGGGAAAACTTTTCTGGATGACTGAAAAAATACACTGCATGTCATCACTTATGGGGCACATAAATCAAACGAAAGGTCATTTTAGCTTCCTTGGACAGTTTTGTGTCGCAATTTTTTGAGGGAGTTTTGGGATTTTCGTATTTCACAACTTCAGAGGTTTACTTCAGATTGAGTTGGCAGTGTTGTTTCTGTGTGTAAACAGTGTGTTTAGAGACTTAAATGAAATCTTTTCATTAAGATTGCTTTCAAAATGCTCGACAACACTTACATTAACACTATTTCCCCTAAAGACCTGTCATCCCAGCCGAGTGTCCAGTTCCCCAAGAGCCTCCTCTCGCTTCCAGAGAACACGAGCATCTCCATGGTGACTGCCTATCTGACCGTTCCAACCCCACCCCCACAGAAAGACAGTCATTTCTGTACAATGGGGGTCCTCAACAACAAAGGAGGTACGCAGACATGGAGGCTGCTTATGTATGTATGTTAATGACTACAGAGGAATCAGTGAGTGCGTTTACATGCACTTAATAATTCAGTAACTGCAGAAAATCAGATTTTTTCAGTAATCCAGTAATCAGATTTCTGCTCTACAACCAGCCAATAAACTCACAGAGGACGTGACGTAAACGTGATGTAAAAACTTCATGCCGTGGCCGATCAAAGAAATCTGAGAGATCTGTTTACATGACCACTTGGATAATCAGATAACTGCAGAAATCTGATTATGATCGGATTATTGTGTGCATGTAAACACACTCACTGACGTTCTCAGAGTAAGTAATCAAAGATCAGAAAGGTACTTGAAGGAAAACTGAAGTTGAGCAGACTGTTTTTGAAGGATTCATTGTTGGTGAGGTCAAGTGAGTGATGGCTACAGTCTCGTAGTCAGTGTTCCATTAAATAAAAAATAATAATGTTGAGTAATTAACATAAGTGATTAAACAGTATTTTCAGGTCTGCTCTGCATTAAACAAATGTAAATGAACCCTTTCAACTGCAGGAGCCTGTATGTGGGCCCACACTTCAGATCCTCACTCTCAAAACTATGTGATGAATATTAGTTGTAACTAGCCACCCATATGATGCATACATGACAACACAACCTTGACTAACTGGCCATTTAGCACACTATGTTCAGCCCTCAAGCCTGAAGCCTGAAAGAGTGTATGTGTTGGTCCTCTTGGCCAAAAAAGAAACAGGACTGGACCTTAATTCATAAAAATTAATAAAAATTTAAATTGCCATCACAGTGCTGGTAAGAAAAAAAATTTAGACATTTTCCCCAAATTATTCAGCCCCAGTTCTGCCCGTCATTTCCAGCTAATAAAAGGAATAGTTAAATGCTGCTTTGCTTAGACTGCATCCAGGTCTTCATTAAGGTGGTACAGACATGCTGATATGGTGTAGAGTACAGTATGACTTACTGTGAGTTATAAAAATGAACTTGACCACTGTGGTCATTTCAGAAAACACCAGGCTCTGGTAATCACAAAGCAGGATGATCTTGGATCAGATTTCTCTATGTTTATTACCCTCATTGTCACAAAGACTGATTTTAGTTCAGCACTCCTGAGGTGGTTTGCCAATACAGACCCTGTCGTCTAAAGTGGCTGCATGCAGTTTTGCTCATTTTTATAGTTCACAGTAAGTCACAGGAGTACCCAACTTCAGAGCCGCAGCCCCCACACATTCAGCCCCCACACTTTCAGCTCCCTACGCCTCCGTTTAGGAACTGCAGCCGCACTTTCTGCTCCCACGAGTGCAGCAGTAAACGGTGGATTGAACAAACTAATGTGCTATACATACTAAAGTAATGCATGGACTTCTGTTGGTGGTGTACTAGTTCTGACATACTATTTAGTACAGTAGTATGTGGTTTTGGACGCAGCCAGAGAAATTGTTTGTATTTTGGTAACACTTTGTCGGCCATAAAATAATGGATATTACACCCAAATAGTACATTTTGAGCACTGTTTGTGCACAGAAGTCGTAATTTCCTGACCTAGGGAGTAGGGAGTAGGGTGCCATTTGAGATTCAGCCATAGTATTTGATGGTTTCTTAAAGCGTTACATGCTGCATTCTGTGCCAGCTACTCAGCCTCTCAACTGTAACATCATATCTGGGCTGAGAGTGGGGGTCTGACAGCCCGGGTCTGAGAGTGAGGTACTGTGCCTCTGCAGTTAGACCCTTCTCATTATTCATACTGTGTCCTAAACTATATCGACAAGTCTGTGCAAACTTAATGAAGGCCTGGATGCGGTTTAAGCGGGTTCAAATTTAGTGTATTTTTACAGAAGTGATTTGGGCTATTTGGGTGACTATTGAGTTCTAGTGTTTGTTAGCAATGTTAGCCTTGCCACTTCAATTCTAAAAAAAAAGCTAAATTTGGACTCCATTGTTCAGTGTAGGAATTGTCAAGCCATTCCTTTAACTTCTTCAGAAGTCCTTGATTGGCTAGATCAGATGCATTAGTGGTAGGTAAAAAGAGGAGTTGGATTCAGGTTGTAACTAAACTCTGATGGATCTCCAGGAAGAGGGTTGGTGACCACTGCAGTAGAACATGAACTTGTATATCTACAGTATTCACTGTTCATAAATCAGAGTATATTTATCTGAAGTTTCAGGATACAGGAGTGTGAAATTGAGCCCTGTGGCAATGCTCAGTACTCAGTTGCTGTCCGGTGGGAAGGAGATTGACATCAGAGGGCCCATTCAGCTCACAGTTCCCTTACCATACCACACCCACTTCCAAGCCTCTGACTCCCTCCCTGCCTGGACCTTTGACAAGACCACAGGTTGGTGGAGAACAAAAAAGCAGATGAGATCAGCTTATACAATGTAAATAATGGCATTTGTCTTCATAGTTTTGTCCCCTGAGCCCTGCCATTTCAACTGAGGGTGGCTCACACTGTTTTGCATAATTTTCTATGCTCATTGAAGCCTTTCCTATAATCTCAGAAGGTCTCAGACTTGCCTTCTGGTTTTCCAATGAATTAGCATATTCTTTTGATGCAGGTACCTGGGTGAATAAGGGCATCGGCTCTGTTAGGATGGAACGAAATGGATTGGTCTGGACCTATGTGGCTCCACACCTTGGAAACTGGATCGCAGCGCTATCTCCATCTTCCAGCGGTAAGCCGGAAAATCGATATGTCTCAAAGCGGTCATTTTCCACATAGCATAGGATCCATGCATAGCCCATAAACAAGGCTATGCTTTAAAGAAGAGATGTACAAGGCACCCATAATCTGTGTCATCACTGAAGGCTAATGTGAACAAAGCCTTGAGTGTTTAACTCTTTTCTTGTACATTTCCAACCCAGTAACCAGATTTGTGTTTGCAAAAATCTAGGTTACATGGGACATGCAACTTCGATGGATTTCATCTCATACCATACATACCTTCTTGTGGGCATCTTGGGTGGTACTCTAGTGATCGTCATTGGATTTTTATCTGTGATCTTATGTCACTGCAGGTAAGAGATCACTTTTACCACCAACTTAGCCCTGTTGGACTATTGGTTTCGTACAAAAACACTCACCCCAACTTTGACCTTAAATTTGAGGCATCTAATCTTGTCTTAAAGTCAGTGCAAAGCCTAACCCTAACCATAACCTTGTTCCTTGTGCTGATACTAAGATTGTTTTTGTATTTGTCAACTACTCTGCATCTGTAGATGACTCTCCAAGCAAGGTAGCATTTCTTTTTCTGTTTGCTTTGCAGAGATTTAAACCATGAGACCGAGCGAAAACGTCGGAACTCCACCAAAATGTCTGTTCTAAAGAAAGACCAGACCACGTCCACCAGCTCGGATGAAGTCCATGAGCCTTTGTACCACAGTGGGGACAGGTCTTACCCACTGGCCTCAAGAGGTGTAGGCCATCCCGATGTATCAGCCTCCCCTCGACACCAGGCCAACTATAACATCTATGTTGAAAACGTATGTAGGCCTGTGGGGAACCTATATGAGAACATTGGAACTGCAGGCCTAGAGAGCATCAGGGCTCCGGTACCCAACTTGTATGTGAACAGTGATGAAGTAGCAAGGCTTCGAGAGATGTCTGAAAAGAGTACCTCACGGCAAACTCCTGGAGAGAGTGTGGTATATCGAGACAAGCTGTTCCACATCTACAACCAGCCGGTGGCCATTGTTCAAGCTCCAGAGCTCTTCACTGCCCAGGGACAGGCTGATCCTACTGGAAGCAGATGCGCCACCTTCCCCCGGAATGGCATGGAACACGGAGCACAGGCTGAGCGCAACTTCAAAGACAGTTTCACCCAGACGTTGCCCAAAGTCCCACAGCAGGACAGTGATGAGCAGCCTGCTTTGGAGGGCCCACAAACCTCCACTGTCAACCCTGGAATTTGGGGCCGCTACAGTCACCTGCTTGAGTCAGTTTCTGTCCCAGGTACCCTGAATGAGGCAGCTGGAATGGGTCCATTCCACGGTGAGCTTCAGGGAATCTCTGAACAGACCCTGCTGGAGCTCTCCAAAGCCAAGCCTTCTCCCCATCCTCCTCGGGCATGGTTTGTGTCCCTGGATGGTAAACCAGCAGCCCAAGTCCGTCACTCTGTAATTGAGCTCCAGGGGAGGCACCGGCCAGGCAGCAGCAACGACACCAGCTTGGACTCTGGGGTGGATATGAATGAGCTGCAGCAGTCGGTACGGAAGAGCGACCGGGAGGGTCCCTCCATCACCAACATGCCCAAAGCAGTAGGGGGTCGTGGCCACGAGGAACAGGACTTAAGCAGTAGTGAAATCGGAAGTCCTGAGGATGCATCCCTGAGGAACACCCTAGAGGGTAGCAGCGCAGCCATCCCAAACATCCCTGAGGATAAGGACGCATGTGATACATCCAGTGAATCCAGATCCACCCCGCCGCCTCGCAGGCTGCGAAAGGTACGGGACAAAAAGCCTGATAAGAAAACAACTCGACACTTGAGGGAAGAGAGGCCGCAAACAAAACGCTAGCTAGCCTTTGTGCTCAGCCTCTGTGGAGCTTTTCGGTGTTCGCCAAATATACCTGGTTTTGATCAACTTGCCTTATTGTATTGTCATCAGGAAAGGTGCCATGATCGATAAAAACAAAAACAACCGGTCTTTACCTTTGGAGCATAGCTTTCTAAAAGTGAATTTCTGTGGTATCTCTAATTTTGCTGCCTCCAACTTTTGGCCAATGTGTCACAATAGCTTCACTGCTCACTCCAGCGCGTCATTGCCTGTGTCACGTTTGTACAAAGTCCTATGTTTACATAGTAAGAGTGCATTGCAATAGCGTACATATTACATTCAGATTCAACTTTTTTTTCACTGTGAGCACAATGTCTATACCTACAAAGCTTTTTTAAACTGATGAAGAGTCTGCAGACTGAAGAGGATGGTTGTAATGGCATAACGATAATGGAATGCTTTGTATGCTTGAAGTTGTCTCTCTGTTTTTAAGTTCAGGTACAAATGTGAAATAACAAAGAGTTGCCACAGAGTGCCACAATAAAAAATGAAATCTAGTAAACGTAATGATTTGGAGTGTTGTGAAACAACAGTAACCGTCGTATTTACCTCATGTATGTAACCAGTACATGAAGGACATTAAATTCTGGCATTCAGGAAAAGCTAACTAAAAACGAAGTGCACTAGAACTGGAATTTTCAATAAAAAGAGGCCTTTGAGGTCAGATTGTTTCACACACTTAATATTGTTTATACTCTTTGAAATTGCATGCAGTTCATTGTGAAGGTTTTTTTTTTTCCCCATCGGATGATATAATGTGTTACATGTGAGAATGTAGCAGCAAACACCAGAGATTTGGCTCAGGTTGTCTTCTTTTACCAAGGCTTTTATTCTGAATACTTCAAAGCTGTAAGTAAAATGCTTAAATGGCCATAGTTCAAGCACGTCATGATGTTTTTTGTGCATAGATGTTTTGATGGGTGATATTACTTCACGAAAGTGACCAGTAGGCTATAATGTAATCACTTGCTGAATGTCTGATTTTTTTTATCTTTTTTAATGTAGCACTCATAATCTGTTGATGATTAGAAAGAAACACTGGTAGACTGTTACCAAGTAGCAGAAGTGTGTGGACTGAGTTCTGGAAGGCAGTTTGATTTTGACATTATGACGATAAAATAGTGATGCATGACTGAAAAGAAGCCGAGAAGATCATTTTCTTTGTAAGTAGTGTCAACCAAATGTGTTTTGACGTCACTTCTCATATTGTACTGTGTATTATTTATGTTAATTGTAAAAAAGTCATTTTTAAACATACCACTTTAAAAAAGCGCTTACGGGAAAGTCCTCCCATTTCTTGAATGCTTTACTGAACAGCTTGTCATATGCCTTTTTTGTGCACATCAATAAAGGGTGTAACCAGTCTGTTCGTGAGTTCTGCTTACCTAAACAGCCTTACTACATCATTTTACATTACCAGTAAAACAGTTTCAAAAATCTGGGGCCAATTAATTTTTACATGACCATTTTCCAATGTCTCTATATTCATTAAACAGGCTGTTTTTGTTACTGTGTTTTAAGACTTATTAATTAATAAATAAACATATACACCAATCAGGCATAACATTATGACCACCTCCTTGTTTCTACGCTCATTGTCCATTTTATCAGCTCCACTTACTATATAGGTGCACTTTGTAGTTCTACAGTTACAGACTGTAGTCCATCTGTTTCTGTGCCTACTTTGTTAGCCCCCTTTTACCCTGTTCTTCAGTGGTCAGGACCCCCATGGACCCTCACAGAGCAGGAACTACTTGGGTGGTAGAGTTTTTAAAACCTCAGTGTCACTGCTGGACTGAGAATATCCAGCCAACAGCGTCCTGTGGGCAGCGTCCTGTGACCACTGATGAAGGACTAGAGGATGACCAACACAGACTGTGCAGCAGCAGATGAGCTATCGTCTCTAACTTTACATCTACAAGGTGGACTGAGAAGGTAGGAGTGTCTAATAGAGTGGACAGTGAGTGGACACAGTGTTTAAAAACTCCAGCAACACTGCTGTGTCTGATCCACTCATACCAGCACAACACACACTAACACAGCGCCACCATGTCAGGGTTACAGAGTCAAGTTGCTCATAGGTGTGTGCGTATATTGTGGATTTTGCCACGAATTCGAGTGCAGCTCAGCCAGTCAGATTTTAGGACCGTAACTCCACAAATATTGGCACCCCTGGCAAGCTTGGGCAAAACAGGCTGTAAAGAACCTTTATTGCTTATCATTTTCATTTTTCATTTAATATGTTAAAAAAAAAAAAATCTAAACTAACTCTTATCAGGAAATAAATATTTTTCTCAAATCTCTGTGTGCCACAATTGCTGGCACCCCTTCATTTAATACTTTGTGCAACCTCCTTTTTTCAAAGATAAAAACTCTGAGTCTTTTATTATGCTTAATGAAACTAGAGAACACATGGCAAAGGATCTGAGCCCATTCCTCCATAGAGTACCTCTCCAGATCCTTCAGATTCCGAGGTCCACACTCTACTCTTCAGCTCATCCCACAGGGATTCTATGGGGTTTAGGTCAGGGGACTGGGGTGGCCATGGCTAAAACTTAACTCTGTGGGCAGTGAATCATTTTTGTGTTGATTTTAAAGCGGCTTTCAAACTATGGCCCAGTTAAAGCTTCCCAGATGAGGCAGTCAGGTTTTGATTTTATTTCTGCTGGTACTTCATAGAGTCTGTGATACCATGTATCCGTATAAATTGTCCAGGACTTCAGGAAGAAAAACAGCCCCCAACATCACAGATCCACCACCATACTTCACAGTGGGGATGAGGTACTTTTCCACATGGCTATCTTTGTATCCAAACTCACCCCTGGTGTTGGTGTTGTTTGACAGTAGTTTGGGAGACGTTCTGACCCCAAGACCTGACTAATGTCAGCAATTCCTCATCTGTGATCCTCAACCTTTTGTCGCTCTCATAGTAATGGATGACTGAGGGAATTTGATCTGTATTTCATCTCATATATATTCCCCAGTGAATCAGGAAGTCTTGACCATTTAAGTGTTCCTGATCAATCAGATGAACTATAAAACATAAAATATGTATGGGAATATACTTGTTAGCTATCACTCTTAAGAATTTTTAGGGGTGCCAACAACTGTGGCATAGATAGATTTAAGAAAAATATTTATTTCATGACAAGATTTAGTTTTTCTTTCAACCATTATGCCTTAAATAAAGGTACATTTTTGATATCCTTTTGATCTTTCTTTCAAAATACTAAGTACAGCTCATTTTGCTCATGATTAACAGGAGTGTATATATATATATATATATATATATATATATATATATATACACACAAGGTGTGAAATAGAGGGAGTCCTGGGGAGTGTATGAATTTTTAAATCAGTGTTTATTTGCTATTTTGTATTGTGGTAGTTAAACAGAGGTGTGAAGTAGTTTTTGAGCAGTGGGATCTCACCACCCGCCCGTTCACCTAAAACACCAGCGCCCTAGTTAATCTGCTAACAGTTACGAGGAATAATATCTAATTTGATTATATTCATTAAAACTATCTGAGTTGATTATTAAGAGGCTCTCAGAAAGAGACTGAAGTATGGAATGCCTGTCCTTGTCAATGTAGGTAGGGTGGGTCTAAACAGCCTTATTTAATAGAAGGCCAGTATTGCTGATTGTAGTAATTCTATGGTATTTCATAGTTTTAATGTTGTCACCATTATCGAAAAATAAATATTATTATATATTAATATAAATAGAATAAAGAAAAGCCCTTTTAAAAGTAGGTGTGTCCATGAATCGTGTCAATGTAAAAGCAAGGAACAGATACAAAATGCTTGATGAATTTGCTTTTACCTACAACTTTAGCTTGAATGAAATAGAAATCCCTCTTCTTTGACAAGGAGAACACAAAAAACAGTCCTTGAAGGAAAATCTAATTAAATGGTTAATCAAAAATAGCTGGAATCATCAGATTATTTTGATTATGAAATACTTGTGCTAAAGAATAAAAACATTCTGTTACACTATTCTTGGTGCATTTGTTGTTTAACACTGATCGGTATGCTTGTCATCCATAGACCAAGCTCACTCAGATCTTTACCACCTGGCTGTGGTCTTTTGCTCCCACTACGTAACCACAAAGGTCTGTGTCCTTGGGGAGAACTGTTTTTGAGTCTGGTTTTACTGAGATGCTCATTTAACTCCGGAAAAAAGCTCTGCTGGGTTCGGTTAGAGCCTTCCATTCTCCTGATAGTACATGCTGATGTGAGGGGTGAAGATCTGTCTGGAAAAGATGGCTGCACCACGACTCTTCTCCTGGGGGCTGAGACTGGAGCCTGTCCCAAAGACCTGCACCTCTGGTTGAATCTGGATTCACTAGATTGACTTCGGGCTCTGTTCATTCCAGAATTTGTCTTGCCGATGCAGAGTCTCTGTGTGCCCTGGTTAAGGGATTCAAAACAAAGAGGATCCAGTGGAGCTGCTGTAGATGTGTCAGATCTTTCTGTGCTTTGCAAGGCAGGTGCCCTGGCAGTCTGAGCCAGCAGGCCGAAACCTGGAATGAACAGCTCAGATCGCTGCTGATCAGTAAGGCTAGTCTTGGCACCCTTAGCAGGAGTGACTGGTACCTGGACCCCAACAGCATTCCATGTGAGGGGGTTGTAGATGACTTGCCAGTCCAGTGGGCAGCAGACAGACTGGCGTAACCATGTGTCGATACAACCAGTATGGAACTGCAGTGCCAGAAAAAGAGAGGGAGTAGCAGTTTGGTATAGATACTGTCCTTATGCTTCAGCCATCCTTCAAGTGTTACCATTTAGGCTTCCTCAGTGACTTTGCTGATACAGTTGAGTGAATTTTGAAGACTGCCATCATGCTATCACTATAACAGGAGCCTCACAGACATAAGGCTAAGAATATAACTTCTAAGCTTAGTTGTTTAATTGTTATTATAACCAAAAGATACAGACATGACAACATTTACCAGCATAGAAGATACAGGCCAGCTATACTTAGATGAAAAATGTGGTGAAAAATCAAATTTACACAATTTTCCCCTTGCCACAATTGTAGTTAACCAGCCAAGACATGTTTGGTGTCCAATATTTGCCTCAGTATTTTTGGAGCTATGAGGCTAATGTAGCTAACTGCATACCAAATCATGCTGAGGTGTTAAGTAAACTCAAACAGGCTCGCATATGTGGTTATTCACACTGTATGGCATACCTTTGTCTATAAAAATGGACAAAAGTACAGACAAACAATGTTTTAAGATTGCTGATACTTTTTTTTTTACTTCTCAAAGAACCCTTTCAATATGCAAAGAACGCTTTAATCATGCAAAGGGTTCTCTGAGTGTTCATGGTTCTATATAGAACCATACTTTTTTAGGTATGCAACATACTTTTTATCCATTTCAACAGCATCAGAAACCAAACCTTTTTGAGATTACTTAACAAATGAATGCAGTTTGAGGCAAGTAATGTGATGTTTTACACTCTTAAAAAAGCTGGCTCTTCAAGGGTTCAAAGGCAAAGAAAATGGTTCTATATAGAAGCAGGAACACTCAAAGAACCCTTTGCATGATTAAAGTGTTATTTGCATGGTGAAAACGCTTTTAGTAAACATGATGAAACTTTGCATGGTGAAAGGTTCTTCAGATTGATGGAGAATGTGCTGTATATGGTTCTATATAGAACCTTTTTGAAAAGCACCCAAAAGGATTCTTCTATTGTTATGATGTCAAGCTTATAGTAATAGAAAAACCCTTTTGGGTGCTATATGGAACCCTCTACAAAAGGTTCTATATAGAACCATTTACAGCACATTCTCCATCAATCTGAAGAACCCTTTCATGATGCAAATTATGGCTCCATATATAACCATTATCTCTGCTCAAAGAACCCTTGAAGAACCATCTTTTTTAAGAGTGTAGATATGGAGTTTTTTTATGATGCTAATTGGAAGAATACGAACTTCCTATTGTTGTTAGCTACATTAGCTAACATAAGGAAGCACATTCTGGACACCAACCATCTCTTGGCTGATCAACAACATCCAGGAGTGAATTTATGCCAAACTATTCTATTAAAATACAGCCTTTGGAAGTTACCTTGTGTCGACAGGGTAGAGTTTTAACATGCTGGCCCAAATGGAAGCTCTGAAGGCATAAGCGGCACTGCATGCCCTTTTCCAGAAGTTTGGAGCTTTGGCGAACTCGTAGAACTGGTAAACTCTTCAGCACATGCTCTGGAACCACATCTGACATCTCACTGGCCTTAATGATGAGTGCATCAGTGGGGCTGCAGTAACAAGGGGATAGTTTTTATTATAACATTTAAGAAGAGCTAACACCAAAAAACAGTCAAACTATATTATGAATATTAATGTCACTGAAGTAAGGGGTGTATCAGAGATCCATACTTACCGGTGCATCAACTGACTGTCTACTGTCTGTGCTTGTTTGGGTTGGGGGTCCACACTTTGCGCCACTGGTTGCCACGGCTGGTTTCTTTTCTGCAGAAATCACAGTTAACTGGTAGAATCATATTAGAAATCTCTAGAAGTCATGAGAAACCCTGACAATTACATGGCAAACTCAAACACACTCATATATCGACAACCCCCAAATGAAAGGTGGAAATTAGCCTTGAATCAGAAACTCACCATTCTGCATGCAAAGCTATGCTGAGGGTGGCAGTTCCTCTTAAAGCAGTCCTCACACAGGTGGAAATAACTGCAGGTGGTGCACCTACAGTATAAGAGTGTATTTACATGAACTATATGGAAAATTAAACAGGACAATTAAATTCTAAGGACTGTTTATAAAGCCTATGAGCAAATGCTTGAGCTTGGTATACAGGCTTTCTCATGTTCTGAGGACTTATCAGGAGAGTTGGGACAACTTGAGGCTTTGGGCCACATGTTGGTTAACGATGCTCAATCAATATTGAGACGATTTATTTTATAATAACTACTAAGGTAAATGATTTGCAGCTACTTCAATCAGTGGTTATCATTACAATGTACTAACGTCAGTGTAGAGAACAGTGTTGGAAGAATTCACCTACTTTAAACATTTTCCAACTATAGGACAGATTCTGCAGTTGTTGCATGGGATCCCAAGGTGTTTGTCCAGACGCTCTCTTTCCGAGGAAGTACACAGTCTGCCAGAGGTCTTTACCTGTAAGTGAACAGAATTGTCATGTGTGCAACCACATCACACTGCACATGTTTACTGAGAATTTACTGGAATATTGATCTTGTTTAATTTCTGATATAAGAATTCGAAGAAATAAGAACATTAGGGAAATAACTGGAAATTTCCTCTACTTAGTATGTCAAGTCAGTCCTACCTGCTCTAATAGCAGCTTCAATGCACCAAAGTCCTCCCGGCACAATGGACACTTCACCATGACCTCCGTTTCTGACCTGGTCTGATGGTCAGCCCAGACTTTCATACAGGAGATGTGGACGTTGTTTCCGCATCCATGCCTTTAAGACGACAAAAATGAGCACCTCATATTAAAAATCACAACAGATTTGTAAACTCATAGGTCTATGATTTTTATATCAATTATGTTTCTCCATTGTTCCCTTAAAAGTGCAGCATAACATTGTTTAGAGCAGAATGTAACATGTTAACACTTTGTCAGCTAATCAGTTAAGTACCTCTGAGAGAGATGGGAAATGTTAGCCAAAGAGAAATAGTCTGAAATACTTTAAGGACATACAGATCTTAACATATAAAAATTTTAGATTATAACAATATTTATTGCTTCCTAAGTTCACAGGCCACAAGCAATTCTATTTAAACTTGTATAAACCTGCAATGTGTCACTGGTAGTCTTTTCTTCAGCAGCTCCTCCTGACAGATGGGGCATATATCATCTGCTTCAACTGCCTTCCGCCTGACTGTACCTTCCTCCTCACTCAAGTCAGGCAGTGGGGGTGCTGAGAAGGTGCTGTCAGTTGGGCGTGGAGTTCTGGCCCGGTACAGACCCTGTAACACCTCCAGGATCTGTCTGTCCACAAGACCTGGCTGGAAACAATCTTGATGGGAGGAAACATGAGATGGAATTGGTAAGACAAAGCAGCACCAAAAGCTTCCAAAGTTACCAAAGCACTGCTGTGAAAACTGTGATGGATGTGGAAATGAAAGTGAGCTTGACACAGTTACGCTTACTTAGTTACAAAAAAAGAGAAAACTTACATTCATGGTCTCTCGGTAGTCTAAATTTACGCATCAAAATCCTGTAACGATGAAGTCAGAGTCAGAAAACATAACATGGAGTGAGGACACAGAAATAACCAAACCAAAGCAGATCTACACTATGAGTGTACTTGTAAAGGGGAATTGCAACAATTTTTAAAAAAATTGCATAATTCAATCCTTGAGATGTTAAAAAAAAAGAAATTCAGAGTGGTTTGATGAAAAATGGTGCATCAGCGCAAATTCTTAATAATAGTGGCCATAGGAAGCAGAGGTCGCAACGGAAATACAGCCGTTTTAAGTACTACTCAAAATGACCAGTGAAATTATATGTGTCTTCTGAGTTTCTATATGCAGTATTGATAATGGTAAAAGAATGATAAATCAAAAAAAAAATGTTTCTTACTATTATTTATTGTTCTATTTTGCCTAGCAATGCCCTGCATGTACCTCTCCACTGGTTAAATTTGAGTTTAAGCCCTAAGCTTACGTCAAAATTGTAAACCTGTATCTGAAATGGTCCCTTAATCAGTATACCCTACATTCAAAAGTCTTGATCACTATATAGAACACTATCATAGGGAACGGAGTTTGTAATGGTAGCAAACGATTACGGTCACTAACATTATGAGGAGCCTGGCCACTTCCTATTTCTCTTGTTATATCAAAAACAGGACTGCAAAACAGCGGAGGGCGCCCACAAGCGAGTCCTCAATGAATTGGGTGAATGGAGCTGAAAGGCTAAAAACGAAAAGTTAAAATAGTTTCTAATCACTTTCCTTTGATTTTAGGAGGCAGAAGGATGGATTTCACTAAAAAAGCAAAGAAAACTCACCTGTATGTTTCCCTTCTTTCTACAGCAAACAGGTTTTGGGCAGCTCATTGGCTGTTCGCGCTCACTGACCACACAAACAAATATGAGGCGCCATTTAAACTCCTGTAACTTGATATCAGAAACGCTTAAAAATATAATAAAAAATTAAAATGTCTTACGCTATTCTGTGTTCAGGATATAAATGCATTCTTTTATCAATGTTTAAGCATTTATAAACCATGATTTTACTCAAATGCTGCATCTTAACACATTCATTTTGGACTCACTCAGGAGCGCCCTCTAGTGTTTGAGAAACCCAGAAGACATTACAGAGTGGGAATTCTCCTCTAGAATAAGTTCTCTGGGGGTACATCAGTTGCACACTGTTGCGGTGCACAGTGGGATTGTTTGAGTGCGCTGGATCTTCTGCTCTGTGTTATCAGACACCACTACAAAATGGCAGAACCCCAGAATAGTGCCCTATATAGTGAATAGGGCACACTTTTGGCAGTGTGTCTCAGGCAGAAGGCGGTGAGTTCATAACCACTACATTAATGACTCTTTGTGAGGGAGGCATTAGATGCTCCAGATGTCCGGCTCCTGTCACCCCTGCTGTGAACAATTCTGACTTTTCTCAAGAAGTTTCTCCAGAATGGAGCGCCTCAAATCAAACCACTCTGAATGACTTCTTACATTAGAGGATGTAAAAAATCCCTGAAATTCTCCTTTACATATCCAGGCCTTTACCAGCAGATGTGTCTGCAGAGGTCCTTCTCTTTTTGGAAAGTCCCACAGGTGCAAGTGTGAGGATCACCCAGACACACCTTAAACACGGAAACATCCTGAAACAGCATTCTAACAGACTTCAACAGTGAAAGGAAGCGGACAGAAGAAGTGAACTCACCTTGTGGTGTCTGGATTCCCCATCTTCCTTCAGGAGGAATCCTGTCGGCCCAAATTCTTTCAGGATGAAAATCGTTGTGCTCATCGCCTGATCTTGATGCCAGCTCACGGCATCGCTGACTGTCTTTCTCCAAGCTGTTTTACGGAACATGGTTCAGTTTAGCACGTCTGACCGTTACTGTCTACTGGTAGCTAACTAGTAAGCTAACTTGCCAGCTGTCTATTAAGCTCTTTTTTTAAAGCGAAATGCTTTAAATGTGAAGTGCCAGACAATTATGGCGGTATAGCCAGCTGTGCCTGCGGGGAACATTGTTTTTACCCACAGTAAATGCTAAATATTGTGTCAGCATGCCTCTGTCAGGAGTTATGTTAGCACATTGTTTCTTCCAGTCACTGTGTGGTGTTTCCACTGACAGTGTTTCTATAGCAACAGTCCACAGCAATGAGCAGTTTTGCAAATCACCGCTAGATGGCGATGCCACTCTTTGCACTGTGTTGATAGATCATGTAGGCCTGATGGCTTCATAGCATGTGGTTCAGTAATGTAGTTTATAACAGTCAATTCTATAAATTAAGCCATAGTATCGGCAAAGATAGGCAGAGTAACTTAAAATATCTTCAACTAAGGGTAATTTCTTCAGTATGACTCAAAAAGGATTTGAGTGGGAGTAACAAAAAAGGACCAGGTCCAAAAAGTAAAACTTGAGAACTGCAGTGGAACCTCTTAGAACACTATAGAACAATACATTTTTAGCCTGAAAAAGGGAAAATCGTACTTAAGGTGGTAACAAGCCATTTGTTTAATTAAACTTAAATAAATCATTAAACCTCTAAAACATTTCAAATTATGGAGCCCTAAAGTGCCATTGCAAAAAAATTTCAACATCATTGCGTTCTCTTGCTCCGCCCAATGACAGCTGGGATAGGCTCCAGCGCCCCACCGTGACCCAGAAGGATAAGCGGTTTAGATGATGAATGTATGTATGTATGTATGTATGCGTTCTTTTGCTAAATGTATGCATTTCCTCGCAAACGTGTTGCGTTCCCTCACAGTTACTTAGTTTTGTATTCTCTCGCAAAAGTTTTGCATCCCCATGCAAAATTCACTGCATTTGCAAGGATCATTGCGAGAGAACGCAAAACATTTGCAAAGGAATGCAATTCGTGTAAACTACGACCACTTAGGGGCTCCATAGCAAATCAATTTCAGACTTGTTTTTTTAATGAAAATAATGCAAATAATAGGTGTGAACAAAGCAGAGCCGTTCATATGCCATCACCAACCGAACAGAAAGAAAATGACCCCCAAGAAAGCAACTTGGACCTTAATGTGAAAGACTAAAAACAGGGCCGAATTAATTGCCTTTCCTTTCTGTAACCTAACAAAAGGTATTTTCTCTTTGAAATACTAAACACTAGAAATCCACCAAGTGTTTACTTCAGCAATTAAAGGACTGAATGTAAACCACTGTGTTCATCACCACATTAAAAAACATCTGACCTACATATCTTTAACACTTTCTTTATAGTATTTACATAGTATATTTACATATTTACCAAACTTCTGCCAAAACGTCTACTTCTGCCTTTTCTTGTGGCTGGTGTGATATTCAAGAACAACAACCCCCACCCCCCATCCCCCGCTCTTTCATCCGCCTTCCTTCATTTATCTTTAAACCAAGTGTTGGACATGAAAATCTAGGTCATGTACCACCCTGTTCCTCCCTGGCACCTTTAACCCAGAGCAGACGCTTCCGACTCTGTCTAGGAAGAGGAAGAGGGTGAAGCAGCTCCAGATTTGTGGACAGCCGTATCGCCTGTTCTGGCAGCCTCTGTCTTCTTCTCACTGTTTTCCATTAGGCTCTTGCATTGGGAGGTCATGGTGAGGGCCGCATCGGGGGAAATCACCATAAAACAAGACGTGGGAGATGCAGACAGACATTTGCGTCAGTGTCCGTGAGGCGAGGACTCTGTGTGTGTAAGATCACCCTGTACAGCTCTGTTACCCAATATAGGCCTATCACTGGTCTGCTCTGAGACGTTACATTAGAGTGTGTTTCCCAATCCTGGACCTGTTGTCCCCCTGCGCTGCACATTTCACTGTTTTCCCCGATGTGACAAAGCTGACTCAGCTCATCGGCTCGCTGCCCAGATCTTCATTCGCTTACAGTGAAAGTTCGGCAGAAAATCAAATTTACACAATTTTACTCTTACCCCAAATGTGGTCGATCTGCCAGGACATGCTTTGTGTCTGAAGTTTGCTTTCGTTTTACTCTGCAGCTACAAGGCTAATGTAGCTAACATGTAATGGAAGCTTATATTGTGCTAATTAGCATCAAACTTTGGGCCTAAATCACTACACATTTACTTCAAACTGCGTACAACTGTTTGTGCAGTGTCAGTTAGCTTCACCTCACACATTGTTATCTATAAAAAAGGAAAAAAGTATGTAGTTATATCCAAGATGCAAAATACAAGGGGTCTCTTGGGGCTCCGGGACTTCCTAATTAACCTCTTGGACCCCCTCTTGTCTCAAAATCAAAATCCTGGCGGTGGGAGTTGGGGGTGGCGGGATAAACTTATTATGAAGTCATGCTGTTAGTTATGGAAAAATGGATGCTCAAACATAAATTCAGGGAAAGCTCATTGTTTAGCTGCTTTAGTGCTTCTGTATTTGGTATTCTTAACATATATATATCACATATCTCATATATCGCATATGGCGTAAGTTGACAGCAGCCGTCTCTGTCTCTCTAGACGTGGAGCTAACCTAGTGGTGTGTTTAGGGTTTGGCTTTTGGGCTGTAGCCAGGGGTCTTTTTTCCGTAGCCATGGGACTCTTTTTCCATAGTTTTCTATAGCTTCACTCACCATGGTAGGCCTCTGTATGATTTTCTGACATGGTTTACAAAGTTACTTAGCTAGCACCCAATTTTATTAGTCAGCCTTCACAATTGTTTATTGCAGTACAACAATTACCATGATCAAAATACATGAAACTGGAACTTTCCCCTTTTATTCCATAGATAAAACCTTGGATATTTTAATGATATATTGAACTCCAACACTGGAAACGTCACCAGTTTTTATTTCAGAAATCTGGTCACCTTACTACTGAGTGATAACTGACCATGTCTAAATTGGGGACAAATTGGAGAACCATATAAAAACAACCCATTCTCATTTCATTTTATGCTGGAGAAAGGCTAGCGTGCAGTTTCAGAGCTTCAGGACCAGCATTGGTAAACATTAGCATTAGCGCTATAGCAGTTATTATCTCCAGATCTCTGGACAGTGTTGATTCAGTTAACATAAATGTGGAAGTTAACGCTTTATCAGTTATAGTGACAGAGAAAGGAGGTCTCACTGCACCCAGGAGTGATATAGGTTGATATCATTTAGCTAAATGACGTGAACAGATTTCCCTATATTGAAATAAATTACCATCCTAGAGCAATTTCCACAAAACAAGTGCTGTAATGTTGAGTCATGAGAGCGGTGGTGGATGATAAATGACCTTCCCACCCCTCCGTAAAAGCACTCCGCAATGGATTACATCATCAAAACATCTGTTGACCCAACACACGCAGCCTAATTCACATATCATTTCAGGCATTCTGCTGTTGACAACACCCATTTTTATTGCCCATGAATATGGATGTCCCATCCGTTTGAATTAACGTACCCATTCCTGCAGCTTTCCTCCTCAGATCCTATTCGTTTGCTCATAAGTTCGCTTTGTGCTTTTGCAGCGTACCATGAATTCGAGCAGTTGGTTTGACCCTGTCTAGGTGCGTCATACAAGGGAGACATGTGGAGAGTGAGAGTAGAAGGAGAGAGAGAGGAGACAGATAGAGATGAGAAAGGGATTGCTAGAGGGAGAGACAGGTGGAGAGGGAGTGCAAAGCTCCATGGCTGCAAAACACAGACTTTCCAGCATGCTCTGCTTTTATCTTTCAATTGCTGAAAAGCTGCAGCTCAAACCAGATATTCTCAGCAGAGCTTTCTGAGCCTACTACACTGACCAGAGCCCAAAGCAATAACTCGGCCTGCCTGGGGAACAAAGCAATGACCCTGAACTGACTGGACTTTTGCCGGGACAAGCGCTCTGTTTTTCTCTAGACTGAAAACAGTAATGCTTATTTGCACGTGAATAAAACACAACATCAACATAATTGTGTCTTACAGTCTGTGTACCTGCGGCAGCTGTGTTGATTTCATATATTTCATTCAATTTATTGCTGTTATTATTTACTTATTTGTTTAAACTATTATAAATAATTTAAAGAAACTATAATGTTGTTTACGTATGAGAGTGAGGAACTTAAGTGAGGGCCCACTTACATGACCTTAGGCTTCAACCAGGGGTGCTCAAACTTATTGTACTGGGGGTCCAAACTGTGATGTTTGCGGTGGGCTGAGGGCCAGAAAGACAAAGCAGCATACAAATAAAAATGGATAGGTTACAAATCAAGTTTTTAGTACAGATTTAATAGAGAAATACGATTTTTTGCACTTCTGTGCATCTGAATGCACAATTACTGCTTATTTGCAGATTTTAATATAAAAAAAAAACATTTGCAGGAAAATGCCACTTAAGTTTGTTCTTTGTAGAGGATGAACTTATTTTCACTTAGAAAAACCAAACATCTCATTTGACCAGGGCTGTCCAAACTGCATATGATTAAATAGTGTAAAAACATATTGTTCACTAATTTTTGGGGAGGTGGGATCACAGGCCAGCTTTGACTAATGGGTCACACTTTGGGCAGTAGTTTAAAGCGTCAATGCTGTGTTTGCTTCAATTTTTCACAAAGCAACTATACACAAATTTGTTAAATATGAATATTGAACTTATCCCTATATTTATCAACAAATTATTCAGTTATTAATCTTAAGATGTACAGAGTTTAAACACTGTCTAAATGTCTTTGATAATCTAAATGAAAATAAGTCAACACATCCTCTACAGAGAACACACTTAACTATGGAATCTTTTTTGCAAATGTTTGTTCGTAATTTCTGTTTATTTGCTGAGTTTAACATATTGGAAAAAAAATAAAGCAAAATATAAAATGTACCATAACTTTTGCACAGGCCACTTTTTATGTTTTATTTTGTTTTCCATGTTAAATTCAGCAAATAAACAGTA